TGGTAGCCGTATGAACACCAGAAATTTCTTGCAAATAAGGTCAAGGACAAGGACAAGGACATATATGTCAAGGTAAAGAAAGGACTATTTTTTTTTGGGTTTACACAAATGCGACCAAAGAAGATGTAGTTTTCAGCGTTTAATAATGAGACCCTGCTTTCTTGTAAGCAATGCTATGCTATGCTTTGTCTTTGCTTAAATCCAAAATCAGTTGCAGGACTTCCTTGTAGCTTTATGATTAGCTCTTGTCGGGTCAACTGAGGAGTCATGAGATGTAGGGTTCTTTGAAAATGACGGACGTGAAGTTTAACATTTGGATTCTTCTTATCTGAGCACATAATGTGTGTACCCTTATGTGTATCACTTTCATCAAATAAATCTTGACCGTCCATCTTTTCAATGTTTTTATGATGCCATTTTCAGATCATGGCCCACATGCATTGTCATGGTATTGTATAGTGCCTGTCTCGATTTGTAAATTAGAAGAAATGATGTCTTGCCATTGTTTTCAGTAAGACCAAGTCAAGTGCGTACCTTTGAAGATCAAACGACTTTAGGAAAAATTCTTTGGGGCTTTTTTATTTTCATCTCAGGAAAGGAGTCAAACTTAGCCACACAAGAAAAATGTTGCTTTATCCTCTTAAAAGCACATAGAACATCACTACGAATAAAACTTGCATATCACGGGTATAAATGCTCATTTTTCATCTTTCTTCTCGCATAATGAGTCATATGTACAGTCAAATTTTTTCCGACATTGAGAGACATATAAAGAGAAAAAGAGAGAAAAATAATTGTTTCAAAGTAGAATCACCCAAAACACAGAAACATAGATAGGATGGTGGTGCTTGGTCAAATTGCTTACAAACAATAATAAAATGATTTCTATACTGCTATATAATATTGTATAGGTATATGCATATTTTGTGTGTGATTAAAATGTCACTTTCTGTGCAATTTTATCAGGAATTAAGGCTAGACATGATGTTGAAACTTTGGTCATATTGTAATAATTATGAATGGTATTCTTTCTATAATTCCATCCGTTGTCACTTGTGTATATAGATATGGATAAAGCATATAATATTTTATATGGAAACTTGTAAATAGATGCAAGGTCTTAAAGATTGTGCAAGACTCAGACAATTTCTCGTCCGAAAATGGTGCCACTCTTTGACTTCCATCAAAACAAAAAGCTTACCACAGCCAACAAGTTAAGCAAGTTTTACGGACAATATCAGGTGGGATCCTGCTAGAGTCTAAAGTGTGGTCAAGATCTGCTCAAGCATCAGCAACTAAATGAGAAGTACTTTGGGTCTTATACTAGCAGAAAAATTGGTGTGAAATGGGAATATTATTGGTCAATCATAAACTGTCACGTGTGGTATATCGTAATTGACCGGAAATAATAAAACAGTGTTATTCCCATTTTACATAAATGTTTCTCTTTATACTAGACATACTTCACGTGTGAAAATCGAGAGTCTCTGTTTGATGATCATGTGCATTCTCCAAGACCAAGACATTCAGACTCGCATAACAATTTTTTTTTTCTTACAATCTATAACAATTTATAGTCTCAAAATTTTTATACTTGCGAATAACACAGACTATTAAAAGTTATCATAATTTCAAATTTCATGTATTGAATTCTATTTGAGTTATCTCTCTCATGTTCAATTTGACTTATAAGTTTATATTTTTATAAAATGAAAAGTACTGGTGAGGGATGATTCAAATTTTGAGTTTCGGGTGCAGAAGTAAATGCATCACTAAACTTACACATGCCCACATGATCTTGATGTTTTCGGATGTATGAAAATCGAGTTCGATGAATTATAAGCCCTTACTAGAACTCTGGGTTTAGTTTCTGATGCTCAAGTATAACCGCGTTTAGATGTTCCAAAAACTTGTTAACAAAACGTGTACGCAATTTCTGAAGGTGAAGCTAATCCAAGCAAGTCCACTTTATTTAGCAAGGAGTGAGTCAACTGTTATGAGTCACCCAACCGAATGGATTTAGATGGTCAAAATATTGGGAGCCTAAAGCAAAACGAGGACAAGTTTTATCAAATCCCTAATTACACTCCACCTCTATTTATGTCTTCTTCATGGTTATGCAATTATCTGTCTACAAGTCTAAAACACTATTACAACGAAAGGGAGAGAGTATGAACTGGAACAAAGAGAATTAGAAAATTTTCCAATCAATATTTTCAACCGAATTCAATTCACATGCTAAAAGTCCAATTCTCTTAAAACTAATCTCATAATAATGATAAAAAAAAATCTAAAATACTCTTAATATAGGAAGCCCTAATAATTAGACCCTAAGTTTTTTTAAAATAATGCCAATGAGGAGTAACCAACCCTTAATTTCTAGTTCTAATTCGTAAAGCGGGATAGGCAAAAAGACAAACAAAAACAAATAGGGATCCTAGCAAGAGGAAGAGCAAGACCGGAGAGAGAGAATTAGTTAGAATCTATCCTAGCGTGCTCTAAACCTACACCGAAATTTTAACTCCTTCCATGCGTAAGAAGATAGATACAAATCTTCTTACATTCATCATCCAAATTAGGAATCCACATTCACAAAACCCATACTCTGCCATCACACAAAATCTCCCCCCATGATATGAAATCATAAAGTCTTAAAATCAAATTAGATGTCTAGATAGAAAAGTGAAAGTAATTAGCTCGTGTTATGGCCGGCCCCTCTTAACGGCCTTTGCACTAACAAAAACAAACAAAAAGGAAAAGAAAAAAAAATGTTAACCAGGAATAACAATTAGCAATGAATAGAAACTCATGAGTATCAGTGTTATATGATTTAGACATACAGGATTGACTTGTTGGCGCGGCAAACAGGACCTTTAAAAGGCCTAACTATTGAGATCCCTAGGGCCTTCGTGTTAAAAAAAATTATGGAACAGATGATTCGGGGAGACTTAATTAGCTGTTAGCAGCACTATTGGTTCCACCAGAATAATGATGCATCACACAGTTCTTCAATAAGCAAGTAGGTGGACCACTTCCAGCATTATGGAGCATTTCTGCTATTGATCAAGCTGCCACAAAAATACCAGAAAGCAGCATATTTATTCATGATTAACACTAGAGCTACATGTCAAAATGTTCTACAAACGAGCTGACCAAAAGAGCTATTACACCATTCTAACCATGCTGTGGACACTCTTCTTTTAAAACACAAGAATTTAACAGTAATAATGGGAATACCTCTTTTGAGCTCATCTGAGACGAGGTCTTCCAATTCATCAACGATGGCAGAATAACAGAAAAAATATTGCTCCTAATGAACCACAAATTGGAGAGAGTTGGAACAATTCTTGTAAGAAAATGTTGGCACAAAATGAGACAGACAACAGTATTCTGAAATATTTACAACAAAACAAACCAGTACTCTGAAATATTTGTGACATTTTCTATCAAAATATTAGGATTAAGCAGTTTAGATAAGATTCAAAATCCAACCAAAACCTCCAAAATTCAGCAGAATTGAAGTGCCATTCTCTAACACTCTGATTCTTTTTTTCCTAGATTGACTTCTATGGAACTCTTGTTAAATTCTGGTTTGTCTTAATCATTTATAGATTTTAACCAACAGAGTTTTTAAGCACAATGATACCCGCAAAAAATTAGGGTCAGTAACTTCAGCTCAGGTACTAACCCTCATAAGTAATCACAGAACAAACTCACTAACAGCAAAGCTTATGGCATCAACAAGAAAATGCCCTAAAGTAATGAGATATATTCAAAAGCACCAAGGAGGCACAACCCATGTACACAAAAAGCGTACTTGGGGAAAAATTAGTGTAAGGAAACTAAATTGTCTACAAGAGAAATAGAAAACGTTGAAGAATTTCTGAGTAACTGGTAGATTTATCATTTGCCAATGAATTGGCCCAGATTCGACCAATAATGGGATTCTTGAAATAAAAAATGATGAAGAATTCAGTGAAGTCCATCTAAAAAGGGGTAAAATGCGCTTTAGGTCACTGTGTTTTGCCCTGAATTCAATTTTGGTTCACCGTGTTTCTATTTCTCCCCATTTCGTCACTGTGTTTCATTCCGTCCACAAATCCAGTCCAATTGCGAACATCCCTCCATTTACGCGCACATGCGTGGCTATTTTAGTATTTCGCCACACTCGTTCCCAATTCCTCCCACCATTCTGGATGCAGGTGCACTTCCAAGTGTCAGATTCATCAATTTTCTAATAATTTTCCACATAGTATCTAGTAGCCATACTCTCAGGGGCGGAGACAAGGTCCTCTTTAAGGGTGCATCAATATATTATTTTAACACACTACAATTTTGACAAAGCCCAAAATTTCTAACAATAAATTTCAAGAAATACAAATATTAAAGAAACAAACAAAAATTGTAATTACAGTTAGAAAATTATGAAACAAACATTGTGGTTTAATTCATGACACTTACAAGTTACACCTCATGCGGTTTGCTGAGGGACGTCACATTTTATTTTAATTTTTTAAATTTTAATTAAAAATAGAGAAAGGGAGATTGAGAGGATAGTGAGATGTGAGATGAGAGATGATAAAACTAAGGGGCCATTTGGTAACATTTAGTTTTTAGTTTTTATTTATTTATTTATATTTTATTTTTGGTGAAAAAAAGTTTATGGGGAGAGGAGACTACTCCATCCCAGGGTCAGGGCATACCAAGACCTCTTTGAGGACTTGTAGAGGGGGTCTTAGCCCATTTTTTGGTTTTTACAGATCACCCACCAAGGGGGATTGTCGGCAGCGGGACTCGAACCTAGGCCTTGATAGCAAAGAAAACGATCCTTACCAACTCAACTAACCCTCGTTGGCAAGTTTTTATTCTTCAGTTTAAGATAGGGAGGAAATGAATGGAATAAAAGAGGGAGGAAAAGGAGGGAAGGGATGGAATGGAATGGTACCTAAAATAAAACCAAAAACTAAAAACAATTTCAACTAGTTATTTCTTTCAAGGTTTTACTTCATTTCTCCCTTATTCCTCCCTCTTCCTCCCAAACATTGCTTCTCTGTCTTTAACTAAAAAGCATAAACAAAGGCGTTACCGAACAGGGCCTAGAAAGTAATTTTAAATAGTTTTTTCATTTACTCTTTTCTGCTTTACGCAATCTATCTTTTGGGAGTGAAAGATACCACCATGGTGTTGCCATGCAATATATTTATAGGCCAATGGGAATTTCCATTTTGTACAGAAAATTACTGTGAGATAGGAATCAGATAATTCATATAATTTCCATTTTGTTTAGCATTTACTGATGTTTTTGACATGTCGTGTATTCTACTATGAAAGCTGCAAGAATTTGCACATAGCGAATAACTCAACCAAATAAAGTTGGTATTAATCATAAAATAAGAGAGTAATTAAACCAGACAAACAAGGAAGAAGATACCAGTGTTTGGACCATTCCAATTCGCTGAGACCTAAATGTGGTTACTGTATCAACGACATCTAACGCAGACATGTCCCCAGCTAGAATTCTTTGGACTGTATTATGAATTGTGCAGTATGTTCCAGTTCTCCCAATACCTGCACTGAGCAAGAGAACAAGCGTGTCAGGCAAACATTTATATATAATTTACCAAACATCATCGAGACATATATGAAAGTCATAAAAAAGAGTTTTAACCTGCAGTGCACCACAATGGGGCCAAGATTTGGTGGTACTTGATATAGTCTTTTCAAGATTTCACGGACAGCAATACTGTCCTCGGGAACTCCATGGTCAGGCCATTCAGGATACTGAATATGCAATACAGACATGGGTGGTTCCTCTGACTGCAACAATGACAAGTAATAATGAACATCTGAGTCTACAGGTCAACAGGACTGCATCAAAGCATATGTGTGTGTGTATATATATATATATATATATATATATATATATAACTAATTAAAAGAGATGAAGGCTCCCAATGCCTTCTTGTATTAAAACTGCCCAATGTAAGGAACATGATAAGAACCAAAAAGTGAAGTCTTATTTTCTTTTCACATGAATGTAAAAGTGAATCGGAAGACAAAAGGTCAGGCATCTTAAATCAATTTCTAAATGGGAAAAAAAGAGAAAGGAGAATCTCCAAAACCAAACTTTAGACAACTAAAGGTCATACATAAATACCAAACAACATAACAAGGCCCAAAATAAGTGCCATATACTGCTACCACATTCAGATCCTTCAAAATGACTCACGCACGCACACCAAACTCAAATTCAGTCAACTAAAGATGAAATGATGCCTTAAACTAGCGCATCTCGTAATCATTGTTCTCAGACACTACGGAAAAGGAGAACATGTCATAATTCAAAAGTTGTTATTAAGCAGAAATGTGCATCGAACGGTCAAACAGAGTCCAGGCAGAAATAATATAGAAAAATCTGTTCGGAAACCGGGAGATCAGATCTCTTGTTCTTTATTCTTCTTCTCTTTTCTTTTTGGTTATTAACCTTCAGAATGCAATGTAGTAAAGATAAAATTTGACGCAACAACTCATGAATGACTAAGAATTAATATCAAATAAAAAGAAAGATCTTACTCTGCTTCTAACCCATCACACACTATTACATCATTCTGACATTAATTGCAAGAAATTCTTAAGGCTAATGCCTGAATGAAGTCATAAGCATGCACACAGTATTACAAAATTTTGACATCAATTTCACAACATTCTTAAAGCTAATGCCTCACTAAAGTTATAAGCAAGCCTAAAGTGGAAAGAATTTGCTCTGTTTCTTCTAACCAATCAAGCACTATTACATCAATCTGACATTAATTGCACAACATTCTTAAGCCTAAAGGAAATAAGACAACTGATATCGCTTAAGTTCTAGTTACTTTACTATTCATCTAACAGACATTTATATCCTGGACAAGAATGCAAATTATGCAATGCCTTACCTCTTTAAAGTTCGCCTCTAGAAGGCGCAATTCTAACGAAGTTTCAGTAGTTCTTAGCCACTTAGTGGCTAGACATATATTACCGAATTCTCTAGGGCCAGCTTCAGCCTGAAAATAATCTCCACACTTAACCATCTGCAAATGCATGGGAAAAGATTAAGAAATTAGGATAAAATAATAATGGTAAAGTTTTGTACAATTATTGATCCACCTAATCTGAAAATGAAATTGTTGTTTTACAATCAAAAGCATAAAACAACAAACTGACACTTGTATGAATGTTTTGCTATGAAGAAAATATGTCACATAATTCAAGAATCAGTAGGTAGGATCTTTCAGAAAGGGTTGTAAAACCTAGAATACAGCTGCTTATTCCAGTTTTGCAGGTACGAATGTTTTGCTATGAAGAAAATATGTCACATAAATTCAAGAATCAGTAGGTAGGATCTTTCAGAAAAGGGAATACAGCTGCTTATTCCAGTTTCGCGTGATAATCGAAGTCTCTATAACTGTATATTTTCCAATGAGAAGATGCCCAAGAACAATTATCTGCAACTCAACAAAGGAAAGTACCCTGTAATTGTCGACCAGGCGAGTAAGCATGATGACCACAGGGCAACGCTGCTCAAGTACCATCTCCCAGAAGTCCTCGTAGGTGTGCGGAAGTGGACCTTGTGTTGCTACAAACCGGGAAATGCTTTCGGAGGAACTAGTCTACAGTTAAGAACCATTACTGAACGATCATTAATGTGTTGCTAAGCTGCCTACTATATCATTTCTAATTCCAAACACAAATACAATTATTTATCTAGAGAACATAATTTTTATACCGAGATAAAGCTGGCATTGATGTAGCCCCTTGCTGAAGGTCTGTAATCCTTACAGGAGTTGAGAACAACCCTATTTGTGTCAACTGAATTTTCAACAACCAAAAACCAAACCCAACTACGAAATCAAATTTTTGAGCATGTAAACTGTGAAATGTTAAAAATAAAATAAAAACCCAGATTGAAACATACATGGTAAGACATCGGTGTATCGGTTTTTGCTCAAATTGACACTATCAAGAGCCACAGTGCAACTTCTCTTCATATCAGATGATGTTATCCTCTTCGCCTAGCATTGATGAGAAATTTTAATAAATTTATTTTGTGAAAAATTAAAAACACAAAGAGCAAAAAAGACCTGTAGCTGATCGAACTCCTGGTGGATATGGTCAGAAGTCCGGAGCTTGTCTTTGAAGAACTTGAGAGCCTGAGAGCAGTACTTGTACTGATCGGGAGTGAGGACCAGTCTGAGTGGCGGAGAATCGGCCGAGAAGTCCAAGGAAGGGAGGGGTTTGGCTGCGGCTGAAGACGCGGTGGCCGCCATTGCCGTCGGTCTCCGGTGGCTGCGGGAGCGCCTGGAAATGACGTTCCCCAGTTTTTGGGGTTTTTGGTTTTTGGTGGTCAGAATTTGATTTGATTATTTACTTGTTGCTATATTGTAAAATTATTATCTTCAGAGTTGCGATTTGTATTGAATTGAGGGGATTGGTTATGATCTGGTTTAATTTGGTTTCGTCTCCCAAAATAGCAGCCAAATCAATCCATTGGGTTTAGTTCGGTTTGAGGTAAAGTCATTGGACAAGCCAAGCCAAACCAAATCATTATCGGGTGGGTGGTTCGATTTGGAAACCTTTCTTTTTTTTTCCCCTTCTTTTTATTTATTATTTATTATTTTAAATACAAAGCTATATTGAGATAAGGTGTTAGGATCTTAGGCCATCTCCAACCATATGCTATATCTCAAATATAGTCCTAAAATAATGCAAAACTCATCTCCAGTCATGAGTTAAACAAAATTTTGGCCAAATTTGAAGGGCCACATTTGGCCCCTTAGCCCTGCAATCGGGCCACATTTAGCCTAGTTTTGGCTTAGTCATAGGACAAATTTTTTGTGGGCTCCATGCATGTGCTTTTCATTGATGATGTCAGTTGGATATATATATATTTAAAAGCCTTCTTAAATGTTTTCAATTCGTAAAAAAATTATTGGTCATAACCATTGGATGTCAAACTATTAAAACCCATTCTTTTATATATATATATATATATATATATATATATAAAAGTTTCAAACGTTTTAAGTGTTGTTTAAAAAAATTATAAAAATTCTTGGTCATGGAATATTTTCTCTAAATAGTAGTTTAATTAAATTAAACAATACATAGTTGTGGAATGTATGTGTTGTACCATAGTTTTTTCTCAAATAATAAAATATGAAGGACCCTAAAATATAGCCCTGCATGACTGGAGATAGAAAAATTTAGCCCTACATTATTCTTTAAACAATTAATATTTTGGAAGGCTAAATTTTTAACCTTGTAATACATTTAGCCCTATGATTAGAGATGACCTTAACTTGCAATTGAACACAATTAATTCAAATGGAAGTTTTGTGGGTGGTAGTTATGGGCTGAATCCTGGAGCAACACCTATTGAGCCTGACTCATTAGGCCCAATCTCAGTGACTAATGGAAGAGACGAGCCCGTGATCTAGCTACAAAATATATTTTAAGTGGAGCTTCCTCATTCCAAGTCCAGGGAGCACGAGAGACTTCGAAAAGAAGGGAAAGGCACAGCAATATGGCTCAATTTATTGGATCAAAGAAACAGAAGTGGTCCAAAGCGGTTCCCAAAAAAATTACGAATTCATAAAGTTCTCAATCCATGGTGGGCTCAGGTGGTCTAGTCCACAACGAGTCATGATACTATTGAGTTGGAATGTTTGGGGGCTTGGGAACCAATAGACATTCCGTGCTTTGTAGGAAATCCTCAAAGTAAAGCGGTTTGGTTTTCTTGTTGGAAACCAAAATGAATGTGTATCAGATGGAAGGGTACGAAAGAGACTTGGTATGGATTATTGCTTTAGTGTGAACATGCGTGGGTTAGGTGGACGTTTAGCCCTTCTCTGGAATAAAAATTGGACAGTAACCATCTTATCTCACTCTTTGGCTCATATCCATGCTATTATTGTGAAGGCTCCATATGGTTTTTCTTGTAGAGTGACAGGTTTTTATGAAAATCCTGTGACGAATCAGCGGCATCATTCTTGGGAGCTTCTTCGAAGTCTATCTCAGGTGGGGGTCGGGTCCCTGGATTTGCTGTGGTGATTTTAATGAAATTTTGGAAGATAAAGAGCAGCTTGGTTGTGGATTCAGAGCTTTGTCTCAAATGGTGGACTTTCGACATGCTTTGGAGGACTGTGATTTGCTGGCTATTCAAGGTTTACAAGTTCACTTGGGATAATGGTAGAGTTGGAATTGAGAACGTTAAGCCCAGCTTGATTGTGTTGTGGCAAATAAGGGATTATGGCAAGCTTGTGCCAATATGATCACTTATCATTTGGATTACTAGGAGTTTGATAATCTCCCTTTGTTAGTTGTGACTGACAACAACTCTCAAAGGAGATGGGTTCGGAAGAAACGTTTCTTATTTGAGGAGATGTGGAGTGATGATCATACTAGGAGTGATGTCTATAAGAAATTGAATGAATGTGCTCAACATTTATCGGATTGGAATAAATCCAATTTTGGGCATGTACCAAAAAAATTGCAAAGGCTTCGAAGTCAACTCGTTGAATTGCATCATGTGTTTCCTTCTAAACATATCATCCAACAAAAGGCTTTGTTGCAACGTGATATTGATTGCCTTTTATTGAAGGAAGAAACTCTTTGGCAGCAACGATCTCGAGTGTCTTGGTTGCAGAAAGGTGATCATAACACGCATTACTTCCACAATTATGCGAGGCAACGAGGTAGATGAAATCAGATTAATGGTGTTTTTGATGTCAATGGGGTTTGGAGGCAGAATACAGAGGAGATTGGGGATACTTTCAATAATCATTTTGCTGAGTTAATTGAAGCTATTCCTTATTCAGTTAATGATACTATGAATGATATGCTTATTAGTGAATTTATACGTGCAGAGTTAGAAGCTACTCTTGCTCAAATGATTCCTACAAAAGCACTAGGCCCTGATGGTATGCCAGTACTTTTTTTTTTTCCAGAAATATTGGCATATTATAGGTGACATAGTCACTTCTACATGCTTACAAGTTCTGAATGGTAATGGGAGTGTCAAATAGTTTAACCACACTCTAATTGCCATTATCCCAAAGATTGCTCATCCTTCTCATGTGTCGGATTATAGGCCAATCATTTTGTGTAATATTCTTTATAAATTGGTGGCTAAGACTCTTGCCAATCGACTCAAGGTGGTTTTGCCTCATGTTATTTCAAGTTTTCAGAGTGCATTTGTGCCTAATCTTCTTATCACCGACAACATTATTGCTGCTTTTGAAACAATGCATGCCATTAAGAGAAGAGGGCGAAGGGGAAGGAAGAAGATTGTTTTAAAATTAGATATGTCAAAAGCTTATGACCAAGTTGAATGGACTTATCTTGCTACTGTGATGGCTAGAATGGGTTTTCATGTTAGATGGGTCTCTATGATTTTGGATTGTATTTCGTCAGTATCCTACTCAGTTTTATGCAATGGTTTCCCATTTGGTCATATTGTTTCTCAATGTGGTCTTCACCAAGGTGATCCACTCTCACCATATTTGTTTCTTATTTGTGCCGAAGGTTTCTCAGCACTTATAAGGAGGGCACAATTGATGGGTTCGATTCATGGAGTGGCTATAGCTAGGGGAGAACTTTCTATAACTCATTTGCTTTTTGTTGACGATAGTTTATTATTTTGTGATGCTAATATGTCTAAATCTTAAACACATTTTTGACATATATGAGAAGTCCTCAGGGAAAAAAACTAATTTTGCTAAATCTGTAGTCTCATTTAACCATTCTGTAGATGTTAATGACCAACAAGCTATCTCATCTCTACTTGGAGTTCCTGTAGTGATTTGTCATTAGTCTTATTTGGGACTCCCTTTTATAGGCACTTAGAACCCTAATTCTATCGATCTTCCATTCCTACTTTTCCTTTGCTTCTTTCCATTCACTCTTTTTCAGTGAAATTTCTTTAACTAGAGCACTTAGGTCCTAGGCTCTTTGGGGTTCCAAGGTTTTTTTGTGTTGCTGGACCTCCCCATGGGGATGAGGCGCCACTTGCTTTCTTCCTTGGTTTTCAAATTAGAGCTCACAGAGGAAAAGAGAATGGATAGAGTCTTTTGTCCAATGGGTATTTCTCCTACACATGGATTTCCTTTGGTTCTTGCAATGACTTCTCATTGACTGTTATGGAGCTTTGACAAGGGTGGAATACGATGCTAGATTTTTACAAGGTGTTGGGCTGGGCTTTGTTTACAGTATTTGGTACTCTATTTCCAGAGTCCTGTGGGTTTTTGTTAAGCTGCTCGAAGTAGTCAATTTGTTTCATTTTGGGCATTTTAACTGATGTGGGTTTGTCTAAGTGTTGCAGCAGACTATTAGATGTTCCCTTAGGGCACTTTTTTTCCTCTCTCATGCTAACCCATGTGTTTGGGCCCGAGGAATGAGCTTGAGTTTTAGTGCTCCCAAGTGGCCTAAAACTTTCATTCCTCGAACCCTCAATAGGCCTTGTGAGTGCTTGTTCCCGTCCATACCACAACCTTCTCAACAAGCCCTGGATAATTACGTGGCTTGGGCCCACTTAAGCTTGTACCGTGGCTTGGTATTAGAATAGCGGCCTTTTACATTGCATTGCGTGTTTATTTAGCATGCTTGTGCTTGAGTTTTAGCGTGTTGCTATGAACTACGATTGGGCCATGTAACATTGGATAAATTAGTAAGCGTGAATTTATAGAGCCGGTGCATTTTGGCCTTTTTGCGTGGCGGGCGTGCACGTTTGCTTGGTGCGTCCTATGAATTCTCTTATGTCCCAATTGGGCTCATTTTGCGATCAATTATTTGTGCTAGGCTAAGAATAAACCTAGGCCTAGCCCTTTGATTTTTGGGCCTCAACATTAGCCCTCTTGATTATTGGGGTCATGAGCAGATATTGAGATGGGCAAAATAATCAAAGCCAGCCCAAAAGAAAAATCAAATCCACGTTGGTGATATGACCTTCTCGTTTCCCGCGTGTGTGCTGCCATGATTATCTTCCAGCAGCTTTTTACGTTTCTCAGGCGCTTCATTAAAAAATTCTATTTTCCTTTCCTTCTTCTCTTCTTCTTCAATTTCTCTCTTCCATGCGTGCAAACCCAAACCCCCTTGCTTTCTTCTTTCAATTTTTTCTAGTTCTTCATCACACCCAGGTTCGGAGAATCCTTGGAAACGAGAAATCGCCGAGGGGCATCATCCATAACCACTAGTTGGTTAAGCGCGGAGAAACCGTTTGCAACCACTGGGAGGGGCAACTGTTCTCCTTTAAAAACCCCAAATTTCTTGAACTTCCCCTTCAATTCATCGAAGGCCATGTTTGACAAGGTCACTTCGCGAGGCGTAGAGCAACTTGGAGAGAAAATTGCAAGGCAGTTCCCTCTTCTCTCGATTTGGCAAGCTGCTGGAAAAGACACAATCGAGGGTAGTGGTAAGCATCGTTTCTCTTTTTCTTCTCCTGTTTCTTCATCTTGTCACCGCATATATATATATATATATGCATATGCATACATATGCATATGGGGGCATTCCCACATATACATTCTGAGAGTCCTTCACGAAAGGGCCATTTGCGGTTTTCTTCAGTCCTTCTTGCTGCATGTTTCTTTAATCCCTAGCGCCTGTCTTTATAGTTCGAATTTTGGATGTCAACCACTGACTTGGGATTTTAGGCACCCTTTAAGTGACAATTTGTCCAAGTTGAACACAAAGCCTTATATGGTGTCAAAGCAAGGTAGGAAAAGAATAAGCAGATAATATACTGAATATCTCTGCTTTTTCAATAGTAGTCAATCCAAGGCCTTTCTAAAAGATTAACCTCTGCAATCTGGGTTTTCTTTTGCATCTGTATCACATAGACGTTTTCTCTTCTGTTTAGGCCCTTTTTTTTTTAATTAACTGTTGGATGAAATTGTACAAAGGCATGGGCTCGATCCTTTTGTAGGTATGGTCCTAACATCTCTGTATGAGGATAAATATGAATGCATATAGGTGTGCATGCATTTTTTTTTCGTCCCCTCTTTTTGCTACAATGAGAATATGAGTCTTTAGGCCAGTAATCGTGAAGGTGCGGAACTTATGCATTTTGTTTCTTCCCCCTTTCTTTTTTCTACAGATATCTGTGACTCAGTTGGCTTTACCATTGCATCCACCGATCTCCCGCCAATCATGATGGACTATCTCTATTCCATGGATGACAATCTTAAAGCAGAATGACCCCTTTTGTTGCTCGAAGAAGCTTGTGAGAATCCTGTTGTAGGTGATAAGTATAAGAAAATGAACTCAAGGAAGGGAGAAGGGTGAGATGAGAGGGAAAACAAGAGCAATTGGCACAATTCCAATGATCCTCTATATATTATCAATCAGTACATATATTGGTACATGAGTTAGACTTTTGCAAGTCTATTTACAGAAACTTTAGAAATATAAGGTAAGTACAATCAATTGCATATATTACAGAGTAATTGATAACTAAATCTGGCTGACAGAGTGATGTGCTTGTGATGAGGAGTCTTCTAAGGCTGATGGATTGGGAGCGGCTGATTTCATGGGACTGATGGAAGGAATGGAATCTATTGGAACAGATTGGTTGGGATCTGCTGGAGTGATATTCTCTTTACCCCCCCTCAAGCGTAACAGAGCAAGGCGAAGATTGAGCTTGGATTTAAGAACTGAGAACCGATCACGACTAAGGCCTTTGGTGAAGATGTCAGCAATTTGATGGGAGAAGGGAACATAGAAGGTATGAAGGACCTTTCGAGCAACTAATTCCCTAACAAAGTGATAGTCGATCTCGATATGCCGAGTGCGAGCATAGAAAATAGGATTGGCAGCCATATAGATGGCGGAAAGATTGTCGACATAGATACAAGGTGCAGAACGAAGAGGAATACCAAGTTCACGAAATAGGAAACCAAACCAGCGAATTTCAGCTGCAGTATTGGCAAGAGCACGATATTCTGCTTCAGTACTAGAACGAGAAACAGTAGACTGTTTCTTGGCAGTCCATGTGAGGAGATTAGGTCCAAAAAAGATACAAGCACCAGTGGTAGACCGTCGATCATCAACAGAACCAGCCCAATCAACATCAGAGAAGCGACGTAAAGTAAAATCAGTGGACTTGTGAAAAACAAGCCCTTGCTCAACTGTACTTTTAATATACCGAAAAATGCGCTTGACAACCTGAAGATGGGAAGAACGAGGGTTGTCTGTAAACTGACACACTTGATTGACTGCAAAGGAAATGTCAGGCCGTGATAAAGTAAGATATTGGAGGCCACCCACCATACTCCGATAGGTAGACGGATCAGATAAAGGATCACCATCAAGACAAGATAGTCGAGTGTCAGAAGGTAACGGTGTAGGACATGGTTTGCATTCAGTCATATTAAACCGTTTCAATAAATCAGCTGCATATCAAGTTTGAGAGAGAAATAAATGATCAGGAAACCGAGTAATTTTCATGCCAAGAAAAAAATTGAGCTCACGCATGCGGCGACTGTCGAAGGTGGAACACAACTGATCTAGAAACCGGTGGACACTTTGCGGGTCAGAGCCAGTGACAATGATGTCGTCCACATAGACGAGAACATACACGGTGCAGGACGATGAAAGACGAATAAAGAGCGAGGCATCAGAGTGGCTGTGAACAAATCCGTGAGCAAGAAGAAAGGTACTGAGGCGTTGAAACCAAGCTCGGGGAGCCTGCTTAAGGCCATAGAGAGCCTTATGAAGCCGACATACAGCCTGAGGACGTGAGGGATCATGAAAACCAGGGGGTTGTTTCATGTACACTTCTTCTTGCAGATACCCATTCAAGAAGGCATTCTGAACATCAAGTTGCTGAAGAGACCAATTATAAGAAATAGCAAGAGACAAGATAGTGCGAATAGTAGCCGGTTTGACCACTGGGCTAAACGTTTCTTCGTAATCAAAACCTTCTTGTTGATTGAATCCCTTGGCAACAAGACGAGCCTTATAGCGATCAACAGAGCCATCTGCTTTTCATTTAACTTTGAAGACCCATTTGCATCCCACAATATTCATTCAAGAGGTGGCCGGAACCAAAGACCATGTCTGATTCTTCATAAGAGCATCGTATTCATCCTTCATGGCATCTTGCCAGTGACCGTATTTGGAAGCCTAGGTGAAGCTGGTGGGTTCAATAGACATGGGGTCTGAGCATGTGGCAGAGAGACCATGAGGTAGGGGATGCGGATGGGTTGGAGACTAAAGGGGTTTTATGACAGGACTAAAGGGAATGATGGACTTGAGACTCTTAAAATGTTGTGGAGGGTTTGGTGTATCAAGAAAGTTAGGAAAATAGATGGGTCAAGAGGGGAAGAAGGGGGAGTCGATGTTGGGGATGGGGTTGTGGAGTGTGGAATGGGCGAAGATGGAGGAGTCGGTGGTGGTGATGGGTTTGTGGTATCTGGGATGGACGTTGAGTCCGTGGGAAGCAAGGATAGCAGGGGCGATATGGCTGGGATCGTGGGATGGGATGATGTTAAGGAAACCAGAGGTGACAGCAAAGAGGTTTGAGACGGAGAAGCCACGGGATCTGCTGGAGCAGAAGGTGGAGAGCGAATTGGGTCATATTGGGTTGGGCTTGTGGAAGTGTTGATTTGTGGAAAGGCAAAAGAATGGGGTCAGATTGGGGTGGACTTGTGGAAGTGCTGATTCGGTGAGAGAACAAGTTGGGCCCAAGATCAAAGTGCGCAACAGATGTGGGCTGGGCATCAGGTGCAATCTGAGGCTGCCGATAAGGAAAAGTTGTCTCATCAAAAGTCACATTCCTGGATATATAAATGCGACCTGAAATAGGATCAAGACAACGATAGCCTTTATAATGATCATCATAGCCAATAAAACACATGGAACAGATTTAAAAGAGAGCTTATGCTTGTTGTATGGCACCATATGAGGAAAGCAAGTACAACCAAAACTTTTGAGAAAGGTATAATCTGGTGGGCGTTGAAGTAATTTCTCATAAGGAGACAAGTGGTCAAGCTAAGGAGTTAGTAATCGATTAATCAGAAAAACCACAGTGGAAAAGGCTTCAACCCAAAAGTTATGGGGCAAGCGAGACTGAGCGAGCAAACAGAGGCCCATTGTGACAATATGCCGATGTTTCCTTTCCACCACTCCATTTTGTTGGGGAGTGTATGGACATGAGATTTGATGAGAGATGCCATCATCACTTAAAAATGTCAGAAATAATTTGCTAGTGAATTCACCGCCACCATCAATCTACAATTGTTTGATGCTAGAACTAAATCGATTTTCCACCATCTTTTTGAAGTGAATAAATGTAGTAAGAACATCTGATTTCTTAGCCAATGGATATAACCAAGTGAACCGAGTATGATCATCAACAATGGATAAATAATACCGATAACCAAAGTTGGAGGAAATCGGTGCAGGGCCCCATAAGTCCAAATGTAAAAGTGCGAATGGAAATTGTGCATGAGACTGTCTATATTCAAAGGGCAATCAACAAGATTTTCCCAAAGGAGAAATATGACAAGGTTTATTGGGGATAAATGTACCATCAAGTGGTAAGTGGTACTTATTCAACAATGTAGTAAAAACTGAATGAGATGGGTGTCCAAGTCGTGCATGCCACACTTCCTGTGTTGTACGCTTTCCATAATAAGCAATCTGACGGGCAATATGAGGGGCTGTCTGAATATGATAAAGACCATCAGAGCTACTGCTAGTAAGGAGTACCGTCTTCGTCTTGTTGTCATTTACACGAAAACCATTAACATCCAACTCAAAGAAACAATCATTATCACAGCAGAAACGACAAATAGAGAGTAAATTTTTGCGGATCACAGGCACACATAAGACTTCATTAAGATGTAATGACTTATGCAACCTAGTCAACTTTGTATTGCCAACATGTGTTATTGCTAACATATTTCCATTTCCAACAATAATTTTATCAGTACCTGTGTAAGGTTGAGCATTGGGAAGAGAGGTTGCGTTGGTTGTCATGTGGTGAGTGGCACCTGAATCAAAACACCAATTGAGGTTTTCCATATCAGCAGGAGAAGTGGAAGAGTTTGCCAAATTTTCTGCCATGTATGCATGAGGTTTGCGGTCAGGGCAAAAACGGGCTATGTGGCCTGGCTTATCGCACAAAAAAAAATGACTTCACTCCGCTGGGTATTTGAATGGAACAATGAGTGGGCATTTGAGGAATTTCCTTGTGGTGTTGGAAGAAGTGGAGGGCATCCATTAGAGAGAGTCTTAGGAGAGGAAGTGATGGCTTCATATTGTCGGTCGCGAGGTTGAGAGGCTCGATTTGGAACCCAAGTTCCTTGATTTGGCTCCCAATGATCTTTTCTCCTGAATCCACGCCCGTTGTGCTCTTGATTCCAATTCCTTCCATGACCACATCCTCTTCCAGATCTGGGATAAGGATTTTGGTTGCATCCAGGCATGTTAGAATTGGAGATGCGCTCGTTAGGCATACGGTCAGCAGCCATAGCAACGCCTGAAGCAACGTTAAGAGACATTCGTTTCTGTAGATGCTCTTCTCTTAGAGCTAGATCGTAGAATCGATCAAAATCAATATCAGGATGCAGATGAGGTGTTGTGGCTAACTCTTTGTATTCAAGGCCAAGTCCATCCAGAACATAACTGATGAGTTCATCATCATCCATTGTTGCACCAGCTTGTGTGAGGGAATCAAAGAGTGATTTAGCATGATTGAGATAATCAGTTACAGTTGTGTTGTTGGCCTTTCTGAGGGTGCGAATTTGGTCTCGAAGAATTCGTACATGGGTACTAGAAAGGGGTGAGAGACACTTGGCCAACATAGTCCAGGCTTAATGAGTGGTGGTACATGGGATGAGGAGTGTCTTGATGGAGGAGGAGGAAGTTGCCTTGATCCAACTCAGGACCAGTTTATCCCTAGCAAACTCAGGGTGCACAGAGCCATCATCTTGCACTTTAGGTGGGTCTGTTTTGTTCTTGACAACCGCAGCAAGGCCGTGCATCTCTAATACATCTTCAAATTGGGATTTCCAACTCAAGTAGTTGGTGCGATCCATAGGAACTGGAAACAAGGATGAGATGTTGAATGAGGTGGGTAAAGAAGGGGTTGAGAGTGAAGGTGAAGTGAGTTTTGACATTTCAGAGATCAGTTGTGACATATCAATATTGCTTGATTCTCCAGATTTGGGTGTGTTGGCCATTGGTTTGGGTAAGATCGATATTTTGAGGGTTAGCTCCGAAGAGCTCTGATACCATATAAGAAAATGAACTCAAGGAAGGGAGAAGGTGAGATGAGAGGGAAAACAAGAGCAATTGGCACAATTCCAATGATCTTTTATGTATTATCAGTCAATACATATATTGGTACATGAGTTAGACTTTTGCAAGTCTATTTACAGAAACTTTAGAAATATAAGGTAAGTACAATCAATTGCATATATTATAGAGTAATTTATAACTAAATCTGGCTGACAGAGTGATGTGCTTATGATGAGGAGTCTTCTAAGGCTGATGGATTGGGAGCGGTTGATTTCATGGGACTGATGGAAGGAATGGAATTTGTTGGAACAGATTTGTTGGGATCTGCTGAAGTGATATTGCCGTCGCTTGAGACCGCCCCTATTATTGAACCTGCCTCCATATCCAAGTGCTGCATTAAGAAAGGCCTATTTCTGGTTGTTCCTCTATTCTTCCAATATCCTTACAGCATCAGTAAAGGCTGGTCAGAGTGGGTGGACCGCGAGCTGCTGGACCCATCCACTCAAGACATTTTGTGCAGGGCACAGGTTCTTGACGCCATCTTCCTTTCCAAGCTGTGAGACATCCATATCAAAGCAAAGATGCTTCGCCATGTGGTCAGAAGGTGAAGCACTGCTACTCACACCTTTGTATGTTCATGGGGGGAATTTACCCCTACTCTTGAGGATGTAGCAAATATCTCTCGCCTCCCTATTTGTGGTGACAAAAACACTTTTGACATAGCTTTTACCTCGGAGGACATGAATAAACTTGCAGTTCTACGAAAAGGTGCCTCGACTTCCCCCAACACCTCTTTTCGATTTAGCAACTGGGTACAGTATTTCGGGGATGCGAATAGACAAGGACCTTGTCGGCTAGCTGCATTTATATCACTATGGCTCGGTTGGTTTGTGCTTTGTGATTTCTCTCAGGACTACCTGCATGAACGAGAATTCCCCTTGGCTTTGGCCATAGCTCGAGGTGACACGATCTCCTTAGCACCCAAGTTCTTGGGACACTTATATCGGCTACTTGATTAGACTCAGCTTTTGGAGAAAAGCACGGCAGGAATCATGGGGTTGGAGACTCTCTTGAATTCTGGTTTTTTGCATGTGTTTTTGTGGGAATGTCTCAAAGGACTGGATGTATATCCATTCCTCTATTCGCGTACTATGCAGCTCTCCGAGAAGGACTTGTTTGGTATCCTTCTTGGATCAAATTTTATAAACTCAAAAACAGATTTTAAGTCTAAAGTCATAAAAACCCGTTTGGTAGACCCATTTTTAATAACTAAAAAACACTCCCATTATTAAAAACAAAAAAAAGTGAGGTTTTATATATATATATATATATATATATATATCTCTCTCTCTCTCCTCTCTCTCCTCTCTCTCTCTCTCTCTCTCTCTCTCTCTCTCTCTCTCTCTCCTTAATTCAATTTGAGAATCTAGAGTTTCTAACTTTCTGATATTAATTTCAATTTTTTTAGATCTTAAATAAGTTTGGAGTTCAATACTAAGTAAGTTTTTAGAACTCATGTTTTTAAAAAGAATCTTAATTTTTTAATACTTTTTGAGTAAGATGCTTCTTTAGCGTAACATCGTTTATTTATATTAAAAGGAGAAATAAAAAATAAAAAATGTGCACTGGAAAGTAAACATTGCAAAACCCTCCTTAAACCCTCGCCCTCCTTGTTCACAAAGAGCGACGAATCGATGTCTCCCATTTACTTCACCTTTCGCTCTCTCCCAAAACCACACTCTCAGTCCTCCCACCACAGCCATAGCCGCCACAGAACCTTCTTCGTAGACGCCACCACCAAATGGGTCCGAGATCGAGGCCTCGACCACGCCGTCGAGAGGGAGAAGAACCTCAGGCCAATGGTCAACATCAAGAATTTCATCAAATCAGAGCCGTCCAAGTCCCTCCCCATTTCCATCATCGCCCAAAACAGAGAATCCCTTATGATACCCACGCGCCCCATCGATTTCATCCGCAAATACCCTTCGATTTTCGAGGAGTTCCTTCCCGGCGGCGGCGCAATCCAGCCTCATGTCCGGCTCACTGGCCAAGTGCTCGATCTCGACGCCGAGGAGGAGCTGATGTATCAGAGTGAGAGCTACAGGCAGGATGTCGCTGACCGGCTTTTGAAGCTCTTGATGCTGGTAAGAACCAATAAATTGCCGCTAAATGTCATCGAGCGCTTGAAATGGGATCTGGGTCTTCCTCATGATTATCAGAAAAGTTTAGTCCACGAGTATCCGGACTATTTTAATATTGTTGTTGGCAAAAATTCGGCATCTGGGTGGAAGGATTTGCGGGATTTGGAGTTGGTATGTTGGAGAAATGAAATGGCAACTTCGGTTTTCGAGAAGAACGCTGCAGCTAAGGAGAAGAAGGCTTCAGCTAAGAAGAAGAGGGCATTGAGTGGGGATTCGCCTTCTAAGGAGGAAGAACATTGTGTTTTTCCTATGCAGTTCTCCAGAGGTTTTGAGATGGATAAGAAGTTGAAGAAGTGGATTGATGAGTGGCAGAAGTTGCCTTATGTGTCTCCATATGAAAATGCAGCCCATCTTTCGTCTAAGAGTGACGAATCAGATAAGTGGGTGGTAGCGATTCTGCACGAGCTTCTGCATATTTTGGTTCCCAAGAAGACAGACAGGGAGAATTTGCTGTGTCTTGGAGAATATTTGGGTCTTCGGTCGAGGTTTAAGCAAGCATTGCTTCACCATCCAGGTATATTTTATTTGTCAAACAAGATAGGAACTTACACTGTTGTTTTGAGAGAGGGATATAAGAGGGGTACGATTATTGAGAATCATCAATTAATGAATATGAGAAGCCAGTATATTCACCTCATGAACACAGTAAAGGAAGATAGTAAAATGGTTAGCGTGCCCGGTGGAAGTACTCAAGAAAAGAAGGCAGTAGTTGATGTTCCTAAAGGAAAAGGCGAAGAAGAGGAGGATGATGAAAGTGAGGAAGAGCAGGAAGGCGAGTTGCGTAATTCATCTGATACTGAATTTTTGTATGACGATGACAGTGATGAAGAGGATGAAGATCAGAGTGAGACAAGCATTGAAAAACATGCTATTAATAACGGAGGAAGGAGAGGTAGGAAATCTCATTTTGATGGGAAAACACCTTCCAGAAATGCTGAAAGAGGAACGTCAGGTGGAAGAAAAGCTAGAAACTCTGATTTTAATGGGAAAACACCTTCCAGAAATGCTGAAAGAGGAACATCAGGTGGAAGAAAAGCTAGAAACTCTGATTTTAATGGGAAAACACCTTCCAGAAATGTTGAAAGAGGAAGGTCAGGTGGAAGAAGCGATAGGAAATCTGATTTTGATGTGAAAGCACCTTTTAGAAATGCTCAAAGGGGAAGGGCAGGTGGAGAACACCCTGGTAAGAGCAGGGATGCGGGCTCTTCAGACACTTCTAGTAGAACAAGAACTGATGTTAGGCATAATATCCGTCAGATTTCAAGAGAGAGATCGAATTTCTCTCAAAGCAAGGGGAGGTCATTACCAGGAGAGAAGACTAGTGTTGAGAAAAGATTCAGCTAATTTTTCTGCAGTATTTCGATAGGTTTGTCTCAAGTTCTAGATCTTCCCTTGTTATGAGCTCGGAAATATTATATTTGCCTGCTTAGTAATTTTGTGATCGATTTTGGCCTTGCATTTGGATGCATACATGCATACGTGCTTACTCATACAATCAAAGAAAAACATGAATAAATAAAAGGGGAGTATTGCTAGGTGGATAAAATTGAAGGAAATGACAGATGGATGGGGTTAAGAGAGTGAGAGCACAGATGGGAAAGCATTTTTGTACCAAACAAATGCAAGTAGAAATGTGATTTGGAAATTGTTGCCTGTTTGATAATGTATGAGATCCACAACCTTGTTTCCGAAGGAAGCATAGGAAGACAATGAATCGGTAGTAAATATCATGAATCTGCATAGGTATGCATGGAGTCATTATCTGGGGGGCAATGTGAGTCAATTTTTTAGGGGGCAACATAGGACAGACCCCAAAGTTGATGGGGCATATGCGTAACCAATTCGCATAAACGTAAATCATTCTAAACTATGACTTGTTTCTTATTGAAGTGAAATGCAGTTTCATAAGTACTTCATTCACTTTTTGTTCTTTTTTATTCTTGGTTGGTGCACTGAAAAGTTGGCCCTTGGATCTTTTCTTCTGGGTTGGCAGTGGATCAAAACGACTGCTTCTCCCTCTTATTAATCGAAGCTGATAGTTTTTTGTTCTAATTTTGGGCCTTGGACTCACCTTGGGCCTTTGATTATTATTTTTGTCTAGTCTAGTTGCTTTGTTGCTGAGAGAGCCTGAAGTTGTGGAAGCCCTCAGGATTAACCGTAATAGGGTCATTGCTTAGTTAAGGGAGAATTAAAAAGGAGCTCTAATTCACAATTCAAGAGGAAGAGTTCCAATTGTCAACTACCTTGCTAATAGGGCTGGCATTTTAGACCGAAAAATTGAAAAATCGCAAATACCAACTGAGGTTTTACCGCATCTAAACCGACCTATCACAAAATTGCAAAATGCGATTGCGGTTACGGTTCTACATATCCAAATAATGTTGTATACCAAAAACCACAATATAATTTAATTAAATATTAAAATAAATACTTATAATTATTTTATATTACCTAAAAGAGGCTAGGACTTCATCATTTAAATTGATCTTTCTCTCTTCTCTCTTATCTTCTCTCTTCTTCTTTTCTTCTTTTTTTTATCTTTTTATTATTCCCTCCTCTCTCTCTCTCTCTCTCTCTCTCTCTCTATATATATATATATGTGGGACTCACCTAGGCTTTGAATGTATTACTAATGAAGTGTATTCTCCACCAATCTCCTGAAGTTCCCTCTATTGTTTTTTATTTATTTATAAAATCTCAGCCTTGAAAAAATGTCATTTGAATATTTAGTGAATTAATATAACTTAATTAGTAAATAATTAAACTTTATCTAGTAGGAACATGGGTTCAATTAGTATTGCAAACTCATCGGTTGTGTTGATAATTTTATTAGGTTGTTATTAGTGGGTTAGCGGAGATAATATCTAGCTTGCAATCAACTATTTAGTTGATTAATTGTGCTTGAGCAGGATTGTGGATTGTATTGGTTTATTTTTAATAATAAAGTTCATTCTCTTCGTATATGAGTTAAAGAATTATTGTCAATGATAAAAAATTCTGCTTATTTCAACAATATTTTTAAGCATGAACAGACTCTTATGTCAGTCGGTTCATGATTTGTCTTTTTACCATATTGCAATATGTTGGTTGCTTCACGGTTTCATTGAAAAGTTGGGGCAATCAAACCGCAACCACCCATACTTGCTAATTAGAACATTGAATCACACACCAATTATGTTAAGATTTGGGAAAAACATCAAAAGTGATTTAGGTCAATTTATTAGGATTAATTGAAGATTTATTAATGGGCATTAATTAATTAACAAACATAAGGTGTTAAGTTTAGGCCTAAAAAAGGATATTTTGTAACATTTAGCCCGCGTTTGGGAGTGCGATGCTTATAAAAAAAAGTGGCTTTT